GATGTCGGTCGTTTCATCTGGAGACAGTGTGTGTTTGTCCTTACATTTGTAAAGAGAAGTTTTTTCCTGATATCAGTATATATTCCAAACATCGATCAATAATATTATAAACCTCAAACATATATCAATAAAGCTACATACCTCAAAAAGCTATCAATGACATCATTAACATTAAACCAATTTTAATGAAGTCATATTCATAAAACCTATATCAATGATGTCATTTACCTCAAACATATATCAATGATGTCATTTATCTCACACTTTTATCTATGATGTCATATACATAAAACATATATCAACGATGACATTTACCTGAAACATATATCAATGATGTCGTTTACCTCAAACATATATCAATGATGTCATTTACCTCAAACATATTTCAATGACGACATATATCTTTTCAGCTGATCAATGACATTTAATATCTATCAATAACGTCATATTAATCCAACATCTATCAATGACGTCATATTAAACAAACATCTATCAATGACGTCATATTTATCAAACATCTATCAATTCAATGACGTCATATTAATCTTACATCTATCAATGACGTCATATTAATCCAAAATGTATTAATGATGCTATTTTTGTGCTGCAGACACTAATTAATAAACCGCTTAAACAGAAGGAAAGATTATAATGTTGCTTCATAGATTACAAAAAAGCTTTTGATTTGATTGATAGAAGTTGTTAATGGTCAAAATTGATTAAATTAGGAATCAATGGGAAAATGTTGAAAATCATACAATCTTTATATTTTGCCTTCAAACTACTTTGTAGCTACAAATGAGCAAATAAATTTTGAATTGAATAGAATATAAAAATGTTAAATCTTGTATCAAATATGAAGGGTTTTGAATTAGAAAAATTACGGTTAATGTATTAATGGTATTGGTAGTGGGATAGAAAATTGTACATTAAAACTAATATAATACAGATTTAATTATGTATACAACCAGGAATTGTTACTTAAAATAAGTAAAGTATCACGTTGTTACTTATATCAACATATTAATGATGATCTTCGTTTACAGTATTATTTATGTAAACCTTTTGATTCAGTGTTCGAAAAATGTTTATCAAGTATAAGATTATCATCACATGATCTTAACAAAGAGAAAGGTGGACATGATTAAAGTTCGAGACAGGAGAGCATGTGTACGTGCTGCAATTTAGACGAAATTGAAGATAAATTCCATTTTTTTCTTAAATAAAATATATTAAGAAATATTATTATCGAAAACCTAGTGTATTCAAGCAAGTTCATCTATTTAGTGAAAATAATTCTAAGGAACTAAATAAAGCAGAAAAAAAAGTATATTTGGCAACCAGGACAATAAAAATAAATTGAAGGGTTCATTATGATAATGTTTATTTTAAGCATGTAAACACTATGTTATGACTCGCTCTCCGTTTGTTTGTATATAATGTACATATTTATGTTGTATTTGCAACTTATTGACCGCAAGGCCTAAGGAATAAAGAACATTGAACATTGACGTCATATAAATGCCAAATATATCGATAAACAAATATACAACATTTTACATAGTGTCCTATCTAGCTAGAATAAGCCACTCTGAAGTGCTTTACAGCACATAAATATACAATCTATACAATCAATACAATAGATATTTACATTTATCAATACAATCAATGACGATCATAAACATGAACATCCCTCATTTATGTTTGTCCTTATATCTGTATTCAGTACGTGCTGGTCCATATATCTGTGTTCAGTGCATGCTTGCTCTTATATCTGTGTTATATATCCATGTCGGTCACTACAATTGCATTCAGGTGTTGTCTGTCTTGACATCTGTATGTAATAGGTGTATATCCTTACATCTGTATACAGTAGATGTTCGTCTTTACTTCTGTATTCAATAGTTATTTGTACTAACATCTGTATTCTAACAGATGTCTGTCATTACATCTGTTTTTAATAGAGGTCTGACCTTGCATCTTTATTTTAATAAATGTCTGTCCTTATATGTGTATACAGTAAGTGTTTTTCGTTACGTATGTATGCAGTAGGTGTTTGTTCTTGTATCTGATTTTAGCAGATGTCTGTCATTACATCTGTTTTAATAGATGTCTGTCCTTACATCTTTATTATAATAAATGTTTTTCGTAACATATGTACAAAGTAGGTGTCTGTCCTTACATCTGTTTTTAAAAATGTTCTGTCCTAACATCTGTTTTCAAGAGATGTCTGGAGTTGTCTGGCCTTCTATCTGGATTCAGTAGATGTCTGTGCTAACACTGTAGGCAGGAGTTGTCTGGCCTTCTATCTGGATTCAATAGATGTCTGTGCTAACACTGTATACAGGATTTGTATGGCCTTCTATCTGGATTCAGTAGATGGCTGTACTAATACTGTATACAGGAGTTGTCTGGCCTTCTTTCTGGATTCAATAGATGTCTGTGCTAACACTGTATACATGAGTTGTATGGCCTTCTATCTGGATTCAGTAGATGTCTGTTCTAACACTGTATGCAGGAGTTGTCTGGCCTTCTATCTGGATTCAGTAGGTTGCTGTGATAACAATGTATACAGGAGTTGTCAGGCCTTCTATCTGGATTCAGTAGATGTCTGTTCTAACACTGTATGCAGGAGTTGTCTGGCCTTCTATTTGCATTCAGTAGATGTCTGTGCTAACACTGGATGCAGGAGTTGTCTGGCCTTCTATCTAGATTAAGTAGATGTCTGTGCTAACACTGTATACAGGAATTGTCTGGCCTTCTATCTGGATTCAGTAGATGGTGGTGCTAACACTGTATAGCGGAATTGTCTGGCCTTCTATTTGCATTCAGTGGATGTCTGTGCTAACACTGTATGCAGGAGTTGTATGGCTTTCTATATGGATTCAATAGATGTCTGTGCTAACACTGTATTCAGGAGTTGTATGGCCTTCTATCTGGATTCAATAGATGGCTGTGCTAACACTGTATACAGGAGTTTTCAGTCCTTCTATCTGGATTCAGTAGATGGCTGTGCTATCACTGTATACAGGAGTTGTCAGTCTTTCTGTCTGGATTCAGTAGATGTCTGTACTAACACTGTATACAGGAGTTGTCTGGCCGTCTATCTGGATTCAGTAGATGTCTGTACTTACACTTTATACAAGAGATGTATCGCCTTCTATCTGGATTCAGTAGATGGCTGTGCTATCACTGTATACAGGAGTTGTCAGTCTTTCTGTCTGGATTCAGTAGATGTCTGTACTAATACTGCATACAGGAGTTGTCTGGCCTTCTATCTAGATTCAGTAGATGTCTGTGCTAACACTGGATGCAGGAGTTGTCTGGCCTTCTATCTAGATTAAGTAGATGTCTGTGCTAACACTGTATGCAGGAGTTGTATGGCTTTCTATGTGGATTCAATAGATGTCTGTGCTAACACTGTATACAGGAGTTGTCAGCCCTCCTATCTGGATTCAGTAGATGGCTGTGCTAACACTGTATACAGGAGTTGTCAGTCTTTCTATCTGGATTCAGTAGATGTCTGTACTAATACTGTATACAGGAGTTGTCTGGCCTTCTATCTAGATTCAGTAGATGTCGGTGCTAACACTGTATACAGGAGTTGTCTGGCCTTCTATCTGGATTCAGTAGGTTGCTGTGATAACAATGTATACAGGAGTTGTCTGGCCTTCTATCTGGATTCAGTAGATGTCTGTGCTTACACTGTATACAAGAGATGTATCGCCTTCTATCTGGATTCAGTAGATGGCTGTGCTAACACTGTATACAGGAGTTGTCAGTCCTTCTATCTGGATTCAGTAGATGGCTGTGCTAACACTGTATACCGGAATTGTCTAGACTTTTATCTGGATTCAGTAGATGTCTGTGCTAACACTGTATACAGGAGTTGTCTGTCCTTCTATCTGGATTCAGTAGATGTCTGTACTAATACTGTATACAGGAGTTGTCTGGCCTTCTATCTGGATTCAGTAGATGGCTGTGCTAACACTGTATACAGGAATTGTCTGGCCTTTTATCTGGATTCAGTAGATGTCTGTGCTAACACTGTATACAGGAGTTGTCTGGCCTTCTATCTGGATTCAGTAGATGTCTGTCCTTATGTTGTTGTTTTTTATTTCGTTATTTGCTTAATGATTTCAAATTGATTAACAATGATTGCCTTGAGTATCAACTTCAAGTTATGTAACATAAAAGAAAAAATAACATATTTGTACGCATATATGCAAGATTCATTATGTTACTGTTCACATAGTAGAACTCACAGGGACAGCGTTTCTTTATACCAGAAGGACACACTCTAGCATTAAACCTTTACTCACCTTCAGTACATATCATATAACATACATAATTGATACAAAGACGATTTATCTTAAAATTTTGAAAATAAACTGTTGAAAGCTTTATAATTGAATCAGCTTCCTGATATAATATTCGTAATTCTAAATTCTTTCATAGCATACATGTATCAGAAATATTGAAGTATTAAATATTCAATATTCTACCACGTCTGTGATGTAACGACGGTTTTCATTGGTTAAAAAGAGTGCATTATTGAGCGATATACCATGCGCGTGCCAATAACCAATGCACGTGAAAAAGTGCGCACGCATGCTGTTCAAATAACCTCCCCGTATTTTATCATGAATTAACAAAAATAGCATAACTATCTGGCGGGATCAAAATATTTGACAGGCCTGCCATTCAAAAGATAACACGGATCTATAGACCTAAAGTATGTGGGTCCGTGCAGTGAAAATGGTTTATTAATTATTGACATTTAAAATGTACAGGTCTGAAGACAAAATGGTAAATTATTTATTACTTTTGTTTCTACTTCACTGGGTAGTGCCGAACATTTCACGATGTGTGCAGTGTGTGTATGTACTGTCAAGCGTTGATTTCATGTTTTGACGAACGATGTCGATAGCGTGCCAATGTTTGATTGATTGAAATAAACATCGTATCTGACGTCACACGTGTCCAGTTGTTTCTGGTCTGCAAAACGTCGTCATGGCAACCAACTAAATATGCCAACTCATGTCAGGCCTATCGTATGATGTTGTATCACTGGCACTGCCAAGAAAATTCGCTTGATATCGGTACGATGATGATGGTTTTAGAAATAAACGCAATCCGGGAATCCCAACCCTACGCACCGAGAAATGTTGGCGCGACATTGATCAAGTTAAAACAAGGCAACACGATCACGTGATAAATCTTGCACGCGTAAAAGAACAGCGTCTTATTTGCATATCGAATTATTATTTCTTAAACACGCAGTATACCTTCAAGCAATGTTTAATTATGACAATTCTAACCTCATAGACAGATCTGTTTGTAAACAATCTGGCTAACGTGTGTATTTCCTCAGGGTCGTAGCCATCTTGTCCACATTACTGGAATTGAAATCACATTCATATACACCACTGTCGCTACTGAAAGCCATATCCATGATCCCGCCGAGCTGCCGTAGCTTACTCTCACTGATACGGAGGCCCGTTGGTGTCAACAACGACAGATTGTCCTTCAGTGTATTGTGTAGTACCAGGACAAACACGTCTTGACTGACTGAATTAAAACAAAGTTTTACCTCCTGTTAGTTAGAATATAGAATGATGAGAGATACCTAAAACATATATCAATGATGCCATTTACTCAAAACATTTATCATTAACGTTATATACCTCAAAATTTATCAATAAACGTTAATTACCCCAAATATCTATTTTTAACGTTATGTATCTCAAACATACATGTATTTACTAAAAAGTCACTCTTCAAACATATGTCGTTGACGTTACATACCCCATATATATTAATAACGTTATATACCTCAAAAATCTTATATAACGTTAAATACCTCAAACATATATCGTTGACGTTACATACCTCATATATATTAACATCAATGATGAGAAGACGTACATATCAAACATATATCAATGACGTAAAATACCTCAATGAATATTAACATTATTCTCTACTGCTGATCCTATTATCTATTATTTCTAATGGTCGGCCTTGGTTGTTTAATTAGCTATATTAGTTGAATTTATATATTTAACCTGTTTGTGTTATACTGCAATCTTCTCATTGTTGGGAGATGGCTTAATATAAGACCCTACTCTTGTTACTAGATCCTAACATTACATTATGTATAATATTATATTATGAACTGCATATTTGTTAACAAAATGTTGTTTAAACCAAATATCTCAAACATCTATCAATGACGTCATATCAATCCAAAATATACCATTGACGACCATAAACGTTAACATCTATCAATCATAACGTCAAATATATTAAACATCAATCAATAACGTCATGTACTAAAACATCTATCAATGACTTAACATACATTGAGCATATGTCAATGACGTCATATACATCAATCACGTATCAATGACGACATACATGTATACCTTAATCGTCTATAAAATGGAGACAATATACATATTTAACATACAATTTTATAACAGCGACATCATTTACCTCATACATCTATCATAACATCCGTCGAAGCCTTTAACCACGGACAAGATATGTAGGTAAATGTATCATTTTTGTCAAGATATCACATTGATATTCCTTGATGGAAATGTTGTTTAGGTGAAAAGAATTCTTGAAACTTATTTATTAATCTGTCTGACATTGTATGCATTACGATTTCATCTAGCAGTAATCGTCAATTCAAAGTTAACCTTGATTACAAACTTGACAAAAAATGTCCCGATCGTCAAAGTTGTAGAATCGTTCTAACCTGACGAAAACAGTTTATAATTTCAATTTCAGGAAGTTAAATATGCTACTTTGTCACGTGACTGGCACCTTAAACTGATTTGATGATGAATGAGTATGTCTTACTTGTTATTCCTTCTAGAGCGCTGAGTATGTTGGTACCAACCCGCGACATGTTCAGACACAGAACGACCAGGGGCCCATTGGGTACTTCCGACGGTGTTTGGCACAGCTTTATGGTAATGTCTATGCCTTCCCTTTCCAGAATGCCATGTAACCGCTTTGTCAATTCTTTGGAGACCATGTCTACCATAGTCTTACCCATTCCACTTCGCTCGATACGGAGACCCATCACTAAAACATAACGTGGACAACTCTAAGGATCACGCTGAATTCGTATACGATAATATCTATGTTAAAAACAAAACTGAAATCAACAATCCGGGTAGGGTAAAGTGGGATTTTATATCATATGTATAGCGGTAAAGAGTTTTAAATGTCCATGTGACGGTAAAAATACTTATAAAACAAAAAACGAAGACTACATCTCGCTAGCGTTTTCGCCCATCTTGGGTCTCTTCTTTAATCTAATTTGATTTATTTAATTTCAATTCAAACAGACCTGGATGTCCACTTACAGAATTGATAACAGAGATAACACGACAAGGCGTACAATTAACAAAATAAATAAGTGAAGCAAACACATTCATAAAGAATATTATTTAAACACATTCTTTTTTTTACTGTAAATACTTTAACAGATACTGTTTGTCTGTAAATATCATTACATATACGATTTGTCTGTAACTATCATTACATATACTGCGTGTCTTTGAATATCATCACATACACTGCTTGTCTGTAAATATCATTACATATACTGCTTGTCTGTAAAAATAAGTACAGATATTGCTTGTCTGTAAATACTTTAACAGATACTGTTTGTGTGTAAATTTCATTGCATATACGATTTGTCTGTAAATATCATAACATATACTGCTTGTCTGTAAAAATAATTACATATATTTCTTGTCGTAAATACTTTGACAGATACTGTTTGTCTGTAAATTTCATTGCAAATACGATTTGTCTGTAAATATCATTACATTTTACTGCTTGTCTCTAAATATCATAACATATCCTGCTTGTACACATGTAACACTGCTTGTCTGTTAACATTGTTTAATAAAACACTGCTTGTCTGTAAATATTATTTAATAAAACACTGCTTGTCTGTAAATATTATTACATACAATACTGCTTGTCTGTAAATATTATTTAATTAAATACTGCTTGTCTGTAATTTAATTAAATACTGCTTGTCTGTACATTTTATTACATACAATACTGCTTGTCTGTAAATATTATTACATACAATACTGCTTGCCTGTAAATATTATTTAACAAAATACTGCTTGTCTGTAAACATTATTTAATAAAA